TTAGAAACGTATATGAAAAAAGCGTTTAAAGTATTGAAACATGAAATAACTTGATGTCTGGGATTTGCTTTAAATTATTCCTGCACTCTGCCCTCAAGATGGTGGAGAGGAAGTCCTCATCCCCGAATAAGTCCCCGGCTGTGCATAGTGCCTTCCTCCCAAAGAGGACAGAATGGACACAGGGTGAGAGTGACTTCACGTGGAGAAAAGCCTGACCGACGCGCCTCACCCAGGTGATGAAGGTCAACACTGACCATGACCAGCCCTGTGGACGGCAGATGCCCGGACAGGAGCGGCTGGGAAGGGCACTTCCCTCCGGTGGTCACCCCAAACCCATGACCCAGTCTAACCATGAGAACACCATCAGACAAATCCCAGTTGAGTGGCATCCTACAAATATCCGCCCAGTACTCCTCAAAACTGCCAAGGTCATCAAAAACAGGGAAAGTCTGAGAAACTGTCCCAGCCCAGAGGAGCTAAGGAGACACGACAACTGAACGTAACATGGGATCCTGGATGGGGTCCTGGGACAACAAGAGGATATTTGGTACAAACCCATGGAGCCCTAATAAAGTGCATGTTTTAGTTAACACTGACATATCGTGGCGCCTGGGTGGCTCAGTCGTTAAGCATCTGCCTTCGGCTCAGGTCATGATCCCAGGGTCCTGGGATCGAGTCCCGCATCGGGCTCCCTGCTCCTTGGGAACCTGCTTCTCCCTCTGCTTCTCTCTCTCTCCCTCTGTCTGTCATGAATAAATAAATAAAATCTTTAAAAAAATAAAAAACAAAACAAAACAATGACGTATCGATATGGGTTCATTAATTACAAGTGTGCCAGACTAATGCAAAATCTTAGCAATGGGGAAACTGGGGGCCAGGTGTATGTGAACTCTCTCCTATCTTGACAACTCTTCTGTGAATCTAAAACAGTTCTAAAAAATAAAGTTTATTGAAAAAAATATTCCTGTAACATAAAAGGAGCTGGGGGGTGGAAGGGAGAGATGAAAGAGGACCGGCAAAAAATTGGTAATTATTGAAGCCGGGTGATGGGTACGAGAGGTTTCATAGACTCTTTGATGTACTTGAATGCATTTTTTGAAAGTTCTACAGTAGCAAGTTTCGAGAAAGTAAAGTCACAGATCTAGTACACTGGGGACAGCAGCATTGTGGATCCGTGCTAGTATATCAAGAGCACAGGACAGGCGGTGACACTGTGAATCGACACCGTGAATTCCGTAGCGATGGGAGTGGAGGATCGTCCCAGGGATGCGACAGGTGTCTTCTTGGGAGAAGACAGCCCTGAGCCGGCCTGGCAGAGGGGCTGAGGATGAAGTGTGTGCGCACGCGTGCGTGTGTTTGGGGGGACAGTTGCAGAGGTGTTCCTGACACATAACAGGCGTTGTACAAAATGTGATGTGAGATTATTCGGGGTCACGGTGGCTGTCCCCACACTCCCTAAGGGTCATATTATACAAGTTCTGCTGCGCTCTACTTCTCCCTTGAGACTTCGCAAGTCACTCAAGAGTCACGTTCCGTCTCATTCCACTTCCAGGAGGACGGTGAGCAGCCCCTAGGAGCCCATCTCTTTGGCATGAATGATGCTGGGAAGTGTGACAGGAGATGAGGACTTGTTGCCAACACCCAAACCCAGACGTCATCTGGGCGAGCAGAGTGCAGCCAGGGACGGGGGCACCATATGCGAACTGGCCCAGGGGGACGGTCCAGCTGTGGTCCAGGAAGTGACCCGAGGACAAGTGGACATGACCTCTAGCTGCTGGTGTCCCCAACAGAAGGAGCGAGGAGTCTGCAGTGGCAGCCAGCTCACACGAAGCCACTTTAGGTGACTCTCTCATAAACCCCTCTGGAGTCTTGCTGTGTCCGCGGCTTGTCCACACAAGACTAACTGAATAAAGAATGCCTTCTTCAACTCTATTTGTAATGATAGCGCTATTTCCTGGGGACCTAATGTGTGGTGGTCCTTGTGCTGTTTATGTAATCAGATCATTTTGTCCTTACCGCCGCCCCCATGAAGTACAGGGAATTATTTTCATTCTGTAGCAGAGAGAACCAAGGATCTGAGACACGAAGCAATGTGCCCAAGGCCACACAGTTCGTGAGTGGCTGGATCTGACCTTGAGCCTGCAAAACCCACAGAGCTTTTTTTTTTTTTTTTAAAAAGGATTTTATTTATTTATTTGAGAGAGAGAGAATGAGAGAGAGAGAGCACGAGAGGGAAGAGGGTCAGAGGGAGAAGCAGACTCCCGGCTGAGCAGGGAGACCGATGCGGGACTCGATCCCGGGACTCCAGGATCATGACCTGAGCTGAAGGCAGTCGCTTAACCAACCGAGCCACCCAGGCGCCCAGAGCTTTTTTTTTTTTTAATGTGAAATTTAATATCATCAAATCATCATTTCTTCGAAACACAAACTGATCTTGTAAAATGTTACCGGTAGGATCTAGGTGGTGGGTACCCTGGTGGGTCCAAACATACACCTCTGCCGTATGTTTGGAAATTTTCATGATAAAATATTGGGAACGAAAAAATGTAGCATGATTTCCAGGTGTTCTTTTTCACCTGAACAAACTTGAGGACCTTGATGGGACTTAGGAAAGCTAACCTCCTTGGACTCTTGGTGACCGGGTGGTCACCACCTTAACACTGGTCCCTCCAGGACGCCAGGTGACCCAGGCTGCAGTGCTCCTCTGAATATTAGTGTAGGTTCCCTTCATTCAAAACAGACACAGCTTTCCGGCAGAACATGACAGCAAAGACCTTCTGGAACCTTCCCTCCAACTTTCTTCTGCTACCAAATCGGCAAAGACAGTTCGGTCTAAGGTCTGTGTGCCTTTGCCTTCTCATCCTGCTTATAAACTTGCTTTCCCTTTAGTGACTCCCCTCAATTATTTTGTCCTAAGGCTGCAATTAAAAAGGGATCACTGTGGTCTGGGGCCCAGAGGCCCTGCTGGTTCCCATTAGCTGGGCCCCTAATGTAGCCGAAGCTGGGCCCTGGTAGTAATTACTTGGCAAGAATAATGGGACACTTATTGGTCCGTCCGGCGCCCAACCCAGAGCATGATATCCAATATGCAAAGTTGGGCTCTTGTGTAATCTACACAACTGCCTCCGCAATCTCTCACGGGTGGCTAAGCAAAGGAAATGCAGAGCGCACTGGTGTGGCCTGACCGACAGAGGCCATCGCTATCACCGTCTTCCTCCTCCTCCTCCTCCTCCTCCTCCTCCTCACTTTGAACGATGCATTGAGGTCGGGCACAGGTACGCAGCACTTGACAGGTGCAGAGCCCTTCTGTGCTCCTCGTCTCCGGCGCTGCGGGCTGCCATCGAGGGCGGGGCGGCCGGGCAGGGATCACTGCCTCCACTTTGCAGGTGCAGAAACCGAGGCTGGGCGGATGGCGGTGGTTCGCGCTGCTGGCCCGGTCTGACTCGGCCTCTCTGGCTCTCTGAGTCACGCGGGGCAAGGGCCCGGCTCACTCTCTTCCCCTCTGCTTTTCCTCCTGGCAGCTCCTTGCCCTCGGCGCTTTCCCTCTGCCCGCTCCCACACACCCCCCCCCGCCCACCCTCAGGAAGGTTGATTGGCCAACGTGGGTCACATGCTCTCCCGAGAGCCAATCAAAGACAGGAGGCGTGGCTCTGTCCGCCAATGCCAGCTCCCACCCTCACCCCTATAAAGAGAGTGGGAAGGCCTTTTCCAGGGGTCCTTGCTTCTATCCTCCCACTCTGCCCCACCCAGGAATCCCCGAGCAGGAGAAACCTCCCTCCCTGAGGGCGTGGGCCCCAACTGTCTGGCTCTTGCAGACTTGTCCCCCAAATTGCAGGCAGGAAACCAGAACCCCAAGTGGTCTTCTCACTTCCTGCCCATCAGCCTGAGGCTTCCATTCCTGTGATCGAACCCCAGGTCCCCCCTTCCCTGCCAAGACCCCAATTCACTGGCATTCAGAGCTTCTCGGATGGCTCCTTGGATTGTTCCCGTTCTCCCCCTTCCCACCACTTCAAGATGCCCAGGCCCCGCAGGTCTTGTGCCTGGCTGGCCCTGGCCTGGCTTTGACAGACCAATGCCCAGAATGAGTGACCTCAGAAACACAGGGAGTTCCCAAAGGTGGCTAGAGACTACATTCTGCAGTTGGAGTAGTGCTCATTTCAAAGACCAGAACACCAGCCACTTTGAAATCCCAACAAGGGTGACATTCCATGTGGGGCTGAGATCTTGGCCAGCGCCAGGGTCCAGGCTACTGAGATGAGCTGGAACATGGGAGGAGAGAGGCTCTGAGCCACAAGTGGGGTCCCTGCCTAAGAAGATGGGATAAACCCCAGGGAGGATCTGGAGGAGAGGCATGTGTGGAAGCGAGGGGCCCTGGTGCTGAATCCCCGTGGGTCCCAGTGTGCTGCAGAGCTTAGGCTGAGGCTGTTGGGACACCCTATAAACCCAGTCTGTCCACCTCTCTTCTGACCCAGGGCTTCACAGAGGGATGGAGTTTGGCGCCTGATAAACTGAATTTGAATCCCGTGTCCCTAAAAAGCTGTGTGACTTGGGCAGTGGAGTTCCTCTCTCTGAGTCTGGTTTGCTCATCTCGAAATTATGTCTGATCATGCCCACCTCGCTGGGCTCTGGGAGCAATGAATGAAGCACCACAGGCCAAGTGCATGGGGACTCACTGCGCCCCGGTGGTCTCTCCTTCCTGCTGAAGGGAATGGTTATTTCTCCCCTGTGATTTCTAGAAGGGACCAGGATCCCATACGGAATACTATCTTGCCTAGCGGGGCTGGACATGGGGCATGGAGTGGGCTTGAACCACACTTGTCAGAGGGCATCGTGGTATCAGAAATGACATGGGTGGGAAGCTATTCCTATACATGGGCTGGGCCCCACCCCAGAGCCTCCCAGGGGGCAGGAGGGTCTCTAAGAAGGCGTGAAGGGGCATTCCCAGGTGCTTTGCTAGAGGAGACCCCCCTTCTTGAAAGACTCATGCACAGGCCATCAGGAGGATCACAAAACTGTTTATTTTCCCACCTCTGATAAGAAAAGACGGATGCAGGGTGCAGAGAAAACCCAGCCACTCCCTTGCTGACCACACAGGGCCCACACACAAACCTAACAGGTTCTGTCTTTCTTTCCCGAAGAATTTCTTCTGCTTTAACAGAACCGTAACGCACCTTCTAAGTGCTCCCCGAGGCATCGTGTCGTGCTGCTTCTGGGCAGAACTGGTCATACCTGCTACTCGACGGCAACCGTGTCATTGGACATACAGCATCCGATTGGCAAAAAAGGTACCAAATGTCAAATTTCATATGATCAGTGCAAGAACTGGTTTTCTCCTGGCATCTAGACTGGCTGCCCCCTGAAAAATGTCTTTCTTTCCTTGGTCCTTAGCAATGCTCAGCCCCCAGGCAGAGAAAGGGAGCAAATTTTAACCTTTGCGTTAAAAAATAAGCAAGGTTTTCAACAAACAGTTGAGTAATTGGACTCGTTATTTAAATACCAAAATACATCAGATGAACTTATTCATCTGGCCCAGCTTAATACATGTTGGCCTAACACTAAAACAAATACATCAGTTTAAGAAATGTCACCAGGGATAGGCATGGTTGGTATGGCAATGACTTGGCCTGGAGGCACAGGCATGGCTGCACCGTGGACAGGCCCTCAGAACCAGTACTCAGAGACAAAGATGTGCACATTGACCACGTTTCGGTGGGACACCACACCCCCGACCACGTAGTTCATCTCCAGCTTCAGGACGGCATGGAATGGGCCCACAATGGGCCGCACCTGGCGCACGACACCTGGGGAGAAACAGAAGGCATCTTAGACCCCCTCAAGGCCCATGCTGAGCCAGATGTTTTAGTCCCCTGCCTAGCATTCACCTCCCAGTGGTCACCCCTGGGCTCTGCTTCCACCTCCAGGGGACAAATGACAGTGAGCTCACTCTGGCCATCTACCGGACAGAGGATTTGGAAGAGCCTAGAAGCAGGCCTGGTGTGGAGTGGATGCCCAGTAGACGCTTGTCCCCCTCCTTCCTACCCACCGTGCCCAGTTCTGACCCTGGGGAAGAAGCAAAGCAGATGTGATCCTGTCTCCTGTGCTACTGAAGATCACAGCGGGGTCCTGGAAACCCTTTATCCAAGCAGAGCTGTCTCCATGGGACATGCCCCTGGACCCCTCGCTGTCCATGCCTCTGTGGAGGGTGATACCTGAGCTCACCAGTGTTGCTGGTAACCGATGAGCAAGAGGCCGCTCTGCCAACAGAGCCCCAGAGCAGGTCCAGTTTGAGCAGCGGAGCTTGGCCAGGGCCATCAGCAGGAGGACAGGTGGTGGAGGCACCACACAAAGGCCATGACTGGCGGCCTCTTCCGCTGAGGCTCAGAATACAGGGCACAGACAAAGCTCAGCTTGGAAGAGGGAACAACTCGAGGCAGATTTGCAGGGGAGCAGGACTGGGGGGGAAGAGTGGATTCCGTAACTCTCTCCAAACCCGTGCCTGGCCATCTCCCTGTCTCCAGGCCAGGCTTTGCTAGCACAACCTTGCCTCCGCGGGACACCCAGAGGCTCAGAGCGAACTTTCCTGCCCTCTGGGATGAGATGGATGGGGCTAGGGTGGGCATTACCCTGGCCGGACTGTGGAGAAGCTGCTGCCCTTTCTGGGCCTTGGCTTTTTCAGTGAGCAAATGATACCGTGTGACCCCGTGTTTCTGCAACGCACAATCCAGATGACCCAGCGCGGCAACTGCCCAAAGGATGAGCTGCAGGTGTGCAGGGCCGCCTCCCCGCCAGACTGAGGGCTCAACCTTCACCTCCACCTGCATCCATACATTCCTCCATAGGCACCAGGAGCCGTTCTCAGTGATACAGAGAAAATAATAGAATCCTGGTTTCAAAGCCCGTGAAGGATCAAAGTTAAGTGCCATGTTCTCTAATAGAAGTCCAGCAGAGGAGAATGGAGGAGACGGAGTCTGAGAGAGTCAGGGAAGGCTTCTTGGAGGAGGGCCCCCCCCCCCCCCCCCCCCCGAGGATGCAACGCAAGCAAAGTCTGCTTGCCTTGATGGATTCCCGGGGCTTGCGGCCGACCAGGTGCCACCAACAGCTGTTGACATTTAGGAATGAATGACGTCCAAAGTCCTTTCTCCGTCCCGCCTGCTCTGATATTAGGACCTGCCCCAAGTCGCGTGCTGTAGAGGGGTGGCTCTCCCGCTGGACTGTACAATCTCCGTGGCTGATTTTAAGCCGCGGAGGCGAGGCCACTGAGGGCGGGGGTGTCGTGGTTTTTACTACAGCAGCGTGCGGGCAGGGAGCAAGCTCGGGCCCGGCAGCTCCACAACACGTGCTAAGAAATCGCCACTGGATTGTTTGCTGCTTCAGACTGAGGACTCCCTGCCACAGACCTAGGACCCAAGCACGGGGCCGCGCCGTCAGGCCCCGGGGCCGCCCCTGCCCGCGTCAAAGCCAATGGGGGCACTGCATGCTGGCAAAGGCCTTCTGCAGTGGCGCCAAGTTCATGCTCAGAAGGGGAATTTCGGTGTGCCATCCCCCCTTTCAGTCTCTGGGCTTATGTCTCAAAAGTGAAATGCCCAGCAGCTGGGGTGGAATTCCAGGCTATTCTAAGTAAACAAGGGCTTTCGCTCGGATGGAGAGAGATTCTGCAGGCTGTCAGCACCCTTTCTCTGGCCCTGCCCGGCGGTGACATTGTAGCTTTGTCCCGGGTGAATGCCCGTGAACATCTTCAGCTCGCTGCTAAAGACGCGGGCTTGTCAGCAGCCCTCCGCTTGCCAGTGGCCCCTGACGACCCGGCCACTCCCGCTCACGCCCCCCCCCCCTACAGAATCTGGGCTGGGTCGGTGGGGGCTCCTCAGTGGGCCCCCCTCCATGTCAGCTTCTCCTCTCCCCAGGCCTGAGGCCCACAGTGCCGCCCACCAGACTCAGTGGTCCGGGTTACCTCCGGACTTCACCCACCCTCGGGGCAGAAGTTACTACTCTGCTTCCAGTGCTCAGAGACGTTTCCGGGTCTTCAAGGAAGAGGTGAGAGGCTGGGGGAGCCTGAGAACTATTTTGGGACAGAAGAGCAGTGGAGTAGAGAGTACATTTCTGCATGCTACGATTGGATACGTATTTATTTCTATTTATCATTATTATCTTTATATAGCACATAATTAATGTGATATAGATTATAAATAATATAAATTATATTATTATAATGCCAATATATAACTAGATACTATGAAATATGTAAATATCCTTACTTAAATATATATTTAAAATCTTATATATAAATATTAATATAAAAATGTATAATTATATATTTTAAATGTATGTAAAATTTATATATATTTTAATTTTATATAAATGTGTTTATATAAATTTATGAATATTGTATAAAAATATAAAATGTACTTATACATTTATATGTAAAATATAAATATTATAAAATTATTACACACACACATTTGAATGGCATGAACGGTTCAGAGCCACAGAAGTTTCTGGGCATTGTCTATGTGTGCCAAGCACTGTGCTAAGTAAGTACGTAAAGGCAATGTTGGGCTGTCCTCGTGGCTCAGCATGGGGACAGGGAAGAGCAGTATGACCCCAGAAGAGTTTCTTAACCTTCCTGCATCTTAATTTGCTCTTCTACGAAATGGGGATTAAAAATAGCAACCTTCAAAATCAGAAACAAAACAAGCACGAGAGCATCCTCCTCTCTCGCCCTCAGAAAGGACTACTGGACAGCAAAGAAGCATTTCACAATTCCAAATTAAATGTGATCTGATTTTTCAAAGTATGGCTGAATTCTGGCATGATGGAAAAACAGAGCAAGTGTTGAGTATTTTTACGGGATTGATTTTAAAATTGTACTAAAAGGAAAGCCCCGAATGTGTAGAAAGCGTTTGCATCTAAATCCATCACGTTGGGCACTTTTCAAGGTTTGGTCTCTGCCCTGCGATGGCTCATTGTTCAGCTGCAGCTGAGTGCTGAGACAAAAGAGGCGTGGAAGGAAGCCAGGGGCTGCATTAGTGAAAGGGGCACTGGGAAGGGCCGGGGGGAGGTGGGCCTGACTTCTGATGCAGGTCACACTCAGAGCGGAGATTTCTGCAGGGTATTTGCATTTAACAAGAAAAATGACTAAGGCGGGACAAATATGCGTGCTGCAAGTATGAAACAAGAAATCGTGAGTGCACAGAGCAGAGTTCAGAAGTGTGTTCCCTGCCTGCCCCCTGCTCCCCCCGCAACCTCACCAGAAGGAGCTTCTCTACCCCTTCCCTCTGACCTGAAGTCAGCACTGAATCCCCACCTCTATCCATAATCCCAGCTAACCCAGGGCTCCCTTTCCAGGCCACACCCATTCTGTGGACCTGACCACTACTTCTTCTGCTCAGTCACACTTCCCCTGGAGCTCTGGTTTGGGTGAACATGTTTCCTCCTCTCCCAGGATAGTCTGAGCTTGAGTTCCACCTCCTAGTCCTCCCTTTGACCAAGCCCAGGCTTTCTCCTGATATCACTTCATTCTTTACAGCTTTCCTACCCATCCATCCACCAACCCATCCATCCACCCGGTCATCTATCCACTCATCAATCCATCTACCCATCCATCCATCTATTTATCCATCCACCCACCCACCTATCCATCCATCCATCCATCCATCCATCCATCCATCCATCCATCCATCTACTGAGTTATCCATCCATCCATCCACCTACCTGTCTATACATCCACTACGTACCTATCCATCCATCCATCCAACCACCCACCATTCATCCATCCAACCACCCATCCATTCACTAATCCATCCATCCATCCATCCATCCATCGATCCATCCATCCACTCATCCATCCATTAGAGGACATTCTACACAGGGCAGGTTTAATGAAGATTCTACAGACATTTAAATTGGATTTCGAAGAATAATTATGAACCTAGGAAGCAGGAAGGACTTGGGCAAATCCCAAAAGTATGATGGTTCAGGCCAGTTCTCAGAACGGTGTCAATCCTGGGAAGAGAAAGGCAGAGGAGGCTGAGGAGCTGCTCACAGCCTGCTCCCAGGACCTCACACCTCGTCAGTCTCACAGAACCAGGAGTCTAGGTTTGCAGTCTCCTGGCTTCCTCCCCACCATGGATTCTAGACCAGTGTTCATTCAGAACCACTGCCAACCTTCCTACAGCAGGGAAACAGGGGAGGGAGGAAGAGAGAGACACGTGCTGCCCATCTGTGGCACCACAGAGATTGAAAATTCTCCCCCGGCGGCCCAACTCTCCCCTCAACTTGATTCTGCAGATATGATACTGGCATCTGTTGTGTGCCAGGCATTGGGGACCAGCTGGACCGCTTAGGTCCTCTTTCATGAAGCCTCCCCAGCCCGGGGGTACTTGACACCTCATCCCCCTCAGCTCTAATGCTGCATCTGCCCATGGCTGGGAAGCGACAGTCAGCTCCCCCTTCAAGGGGCAACATCTGCAACTCATGCATCCCACTGTCCCCAGCACAGGGCGCCATCATGATGACTGAGTGGGATACAGGCGGCGCAAGAAAGAAGGGACAGGAGTCCTTGAGGCCCCCCACAATCTAGGAAGGAAGACAAAACTCTGTCCTGTAGGAAAGAGGAGCCACGGAAGACTCTGAAGGACACTAGTCAATGACCAGTCTCGCAGCAAAATGCAGGCCCAAGGGAGAGGGGCATTTCCATCAGGCCTGGCGTGTCCGTCTGACCTGCTGGGGTGTTTACCTCCTCAGCTTTCCAGAGCCCCAGAAATAAAAACAAACAAACAAACAAACAACAACAACAAAAAAACCA